ATAATACTAAATAATACTAAATAATACTGAAATAATACTAAATATTACTAAATAATCCTAAATAATACTGAAAAAATACTAAATAATACTAAATAATACTTAATAATACTAAATAATCCTAAATAATCCTAAATAATACTGAAAAAATACTAAATAATACTAAATAATACTGAAATAATACTAAATAATACTAAATAATACTAAATAATACTAAATGATACTAAATGATACTAAGTGGATGGCCCCTAAGGCCCACTGAGCTACGTTGCTCTGTTTCAGAAGCCACCTGGCCATCACAAATTAGAGCTCACGGAAGTGGCTTATCACGTGGACATTTGCAGCAGATAAGTGTCTGAATCGGACCTGGGCCTCGATTAAGTCGAGTAAGTGAGGCCTTATACGGGCACCGCTAACCGGTGTGGTGTGTACACATAAGTTCTGGGGGGGGGGGGACAAAGGCGACTAAATGTGATGCTGGCCACCCACTTCCTCGTCTGCCGTGCCGGCCTCAATAGATGCTCGCTGACTATATGGGGATGATCACGGTCTTGGATGAGCTGATAACTTCATTTTAAAACGGTATTATTTTTTGTTTAATGGTCCGAAACAAAAAAAAATCGCTAAAATATCTATTTTTAAATATAATATTGAGTATGTTTGTCCACTGATGACCATTTGTCTTGTTAACGCGGTTTGTTTACGCGCTATAAAAACGCGGGTTTTTTTCCCACCGATGTATATATTTGCTTCATTTCTGTACTTCGTCTTATTATTGCTATCGCATTTGTCATTTTGGTGACCCACCTCGCTCACTCTTGGAAATCTTCTGAATCGTCCCGGCACACATAGGGCCCTACATAAAAAAAAATCTGTATCATCGATAAAGTCCAACACGGCAATATCGTTTACAGATATCGATGCAAATCAATCAGAATCAGAACATGTATTTATACTGGAGGAATCCGATGAGCAACAAAAAAGCTCTTTTTCACAGATGTCCAGTAGTTTCACAGATTTCAAATCGACACCACAGATACCAACAATTCCGGGTCAAACCCAGAGAGGTGGTAAAGGTGGTTGGGCTGGTTGGGTTCGGGATGCCACCTTTTCCACAGGCCAAACTACCCAGACATATTCTCAAGTCCACTCTGGGGAGACAAACACGGCCGGTCCATTATTATTCCAACTTAAATCATCGTATTCTTGGTTCTTTCGGTAAAGTCACCACGTAGAAGGGACACGATAAAATAAAAAAATATAAAACAATAAAATTCTCACGACGTTTCGACTGCAACGCGAGCAATCGTCATCAGGTGTGATAACCACAGCAATAATATTTGAAAAAAGTAGCGTGGTTGCTAACGTTAAAAAAAAACCGCCACTTTTTTCAAATTTTCTTGCTCAGTTTTCACACCTGATGACGATTGCTTGTGTTGCAGTCGAAACGTCGTGAGAATTTTATTGTTTCATATTTTTATTATTTTATCGTTTCCCTTCTACGTGGTGACTTTACCGAAAGAACCAAGAATATGAATCCCTGCAGTCACGAAAGCTTTAAATCAAAAATTAAATCATCGTATCGTTATCATCACGATCGTCGTCGTCGTCATTATCATGAGCATGATAGCATCATAATTAGCCATCACATCATAATTCTAGAAACCAGTAGCAACATTATCATTATTACAGCAGCATCACCATCATAGTCACCAGCAGCAAACTACAGTTTCACCATCTATTGCATCATAATAAAAAAAAATTGCCCTTTTTTCTGGCAACAAAACTGAAACCTTTTTACGAGGAATCATGTTCACATTAACCACATTACCTGCAGTCAGAATGCATCATCTGGTCGAGCACCATATGAGACTAGGCTTTAAGAAAAGCTGTTTTCTGGTGTGGACCAATCAATTTCAAGGACAATGCATACATTATCAGAGTGTGTTTTTTGTTTGCATTCTGACTGCAGGTAGTGGTTAATGTGAACATGATTCCTCGTAAAGAGGTTTAAGTTTTGTTGCCAGAAAAAAGGGTAAAAAAATACCTATTATTATATTTTGCTACTGGCAAAGGAGGCCTCATGATGTCTATTGCATCATATTTATCATGATCAGTAAGGTAATCAACGATATACTTCGTCATCATAATCACCAGAGCGTTATAATCATAGCAGCCTTATCATGAGCAGTAGCAGTGTCATCCTGCTCATCATCAGTCCCAACATAACGATCATCATCAGTAGCATCACCGTATCCATCGTGCGCATCACCATCGATCGTCGCCATCACCATGGCATCATTTAACATCACCATCTGTATTGTCTGACCATCATCGTCAGCGCAGTAGCAGCAAGATCGCTAAGACGCAAGGTTCCACTTCGCGGCAAGCCAACAGTGGAGACCCACACGCATTTCTAGATTTGAAGCTTTCGTGACTGCAAGGATCCATACTCTTTGGTTCTATTCGGTAAAGTCACGTGGGTAAAAAATAAAACAACAAAAAACACGACGTTTCTAGTGATTTTTGTTGTTTTATTTTTTTACCTACGTGACTTTACCGAATATAACCAAAGAGTATGGACCCACACGCATCTTGCCCAGTTACCGTAGAGGCAGCAGCGAGGGTTGGTGGTGGCGAAACCCCCTTGCCGTGGCCATAGAAGAGATTGCCCATTCATTGTGTCGCCGGAAGGGCAGCACAGTAAATGGGGCTGGCGTCTGTTTCCATCTGTGCGGGGATAGAGTGTTTCCCCCTCGCACGTGGCGTTGGTGGAGGAGAGGGGGGGGGAGGGGGGCGGAGGGTTTCTCCAGGTTTTATCCCAGCTGGTATAGTGAATATAAAACACAAAATTCGTCAGGAATAATTTGGGGCCAGAAAACATCTTACAAAAAAAGAACAAGAAACCCAACAGCCATGAAGAGGCTCCTGGTAAAAGAGCCTCGCCCACTCGGCGTTCGGCTCTCCTGGACAAATAAGTGTAAACAAACAAAAAAGAAACGGACGATTGGTACTTGGTCGCCGCCATGGGAACGTGGAATTTCCGGGAGGGAGGGAGGTCGGTAGGAGGAGGAGGAGAGAGAGGGAGGGGAGGAAGAGAGGCTGCTTTATTTATAATTGGACGCGACAGGCAGCGTGACACGTGGGCCTCCTCCGTCGTCAGCGAGGCAGGTGGCGGCGGGCTGGGAGGCGCGAGGCCACGTGGGAGGCGCGGGGCCACGTGGGTGGCGCGGGGAGACGTCACAGAAGCGGGGCAAAGGAGCCCCGTGTAGCCTCGGCGGGCCCTCCTCCTCCTTCTCCTCTCTTCTTCTACCGCGGGCAAGTGCGGTGGACGAGGATGGTTGGGAGGGCAAAAGAACCGGTAACCGGTTTTTAGCGGTTATTTTCCCCAATTCGGTTACCAGCAATGGAATATTTTAAAAAAAAATTTTATTCACACAGACGAATATCCCCCCCCCCCCCTTCACGTTATAGCCTTAAGCAACGGACTGTCGGGGCAAGCGCTGTTAGCGAGCGCCTTGACATACACTAAGACAGACTGTAGGGGCAAGTGCTGTTAAAGAGCACCTATAAAGACCGACACGGCACACGAGGGGGTGGGTGGCCAGCACCACGCCCGACCGCCTTTGTCTCCCCCCAGTGGCGATGTTTACAAGTACTCATTCGAGGCTGAGCCGACCTAGGACCCGGTTCAGATCTTCGTCACCGGTGTTGGCCGTGAGCAACGCGCTAACCGCTACACTACCGCTCCCCCCCAAAGACAAAGATCCCCCGTGTAGCCTGTAACAGACTGTAGGGGCAAGTGCTGTTAGCGAGCACCTATGAAGGCCGGAACGGTACAATGTTTACACACCGCACCAGGTACTCATTTGAGGCTGAGTCGACCTAGGGGAGGCCCGGGACCGGTTCAGATAATCGTCACTGGTGTTGGCCGTCGCCAGGTGCATAGCGCAGCGTGCTAACCGCTACACTACCGCCCCCCCCCCACGCACACAGACACATACACAGACACACACAATGTGTGTGTGTCTGCACTCGAAAACCACAAAGCCCACTCTTGCACTTGGCCTATTCCGAGCATTGGTCTCTCCCAGCCAATGGGAATCCTGTTCCACACACGCACGCGCACACACGCACGCGCACACGCGCGCATACACACACGCGCGCACACACACACGCGCGCACACACACACGCGCGCACACACACACGCGCGCACACACACACGCGCGCACACACACACGCGCGCACACACACACGCGCGCACACACACACGCGCGCACACACACGCACGCGCACGCACGCGCGTACGCACCCTGACACACAAGACAAAGATCCCAGTATCGCCTCGAGCAGACTGCTCGGTGCAAGTGGCGGTCGAGAGCAGCGCCGATGAAGGGCGGCGTCGAGGTGGTGGTGTTCGTCCATGACGCCCGACAGACCCTTGCCGCCCGACGTGGCGATGTTTACCCGCAGCACGGGGTGCTGATTTGAGGCTGAGTCGACCTTGGGGGGACGCGGCAGGACCGGCTCGGCGTCACCGGCGTTGACCGCGAGCGGGAATCGAACTCGGCGAGGCCCGGTTCGTAGCGCAGCGCGCTGACCACTGCGCCACCGCTCCTCCTCCAACACGACTACACTGACACACATATACACACATATACATACACATATATACACACATATACATACACACATATATACACACACATATACACACACACATATACATACACACACATATACACACACATATACACACACATATATACATACACACATATATACACACACACATACACATATATACACACACATATACATACACACGTACACGCACACATATACACACACATATACATACACACATATACACACACATATACATACACACATATACACACACACATATACACACATATACATACACGCGTACACACACACATATACATACACACGTATACACACATATACACACACGTACACACATACACACGTATACACACATATACACACATATACATACGCACGTACACACACACACGTATACACACACGTACACACACACACATATATACACACACTACACATTTGCGCTGAGCCAAATGCAGAATCACATTCACACACCGCTGTCTTGGGCCAACATTACCAACATCGCCTGCACCACACTCGTTCATCACCACCACCATCACCACCGTGGTAACGCAGTAATTACCATCAACAACAACAACATCGTCGTCACATTCAGAAGACATACAACCTGCTTGCATGAGCACAAGCAGACACCATCACGACCACCATCACCATTTTCAAAAGGTAGGCACAGCACACAGCGGGTGCGTAAGAATACACACCACCATCATCACCAACATCATCATAATCACCATCATAATCATCATCATCACGACTATCACCCGTAATTGTAACACTACATCATCAACTGACGAAGCGCGCAACAGTACATCATCGCCATCACTGCCACGACCACCAAACATCATCGCCAACGTCATCATCATCATCGACATCATCGGAAGCAACAGACAGACGCGCGGCGCAAGTACACACGCACACACACCATCAATCATCACCAACATCATCATCATCACGAACATCATCATCATCAGCAACATCATCATCATCCCGACCATCATCATCATCAGAAGTGCGCGCGAAGAACACACGCACACACACCAACACCATCACCAAAATCATAACCAACATCATCACCAACATCATCATCATTATCCCGACCATCATCAGAAGCGTGCGCGAAGAACACACGCACACACACCATCATCATCACCAATATCATCATCAGCAACATCATCATCATCATCATCCCCACCATCATCAGAAGCACGCGCGAAGAACACACGCACACACACCAACACCATCACTAACATTATCATCACCAACATCATCATCAGAAGCGCGCGCTAAGAACACACGCACACACACCAACATCATCGCCACCAATATCAACATCATCATCACTAACATCATCACCAACATTATCACCGTCACCAAAATCATCATCATCGTATTTTTTTAAACCGCTTTCAGTTTAGACACTTGAAGCCGGTGGCGGCGGAGGCGATGGTGGTGATGGTGGTGGTAGTGATGATGATGATGGCGATGGTGATGATGATGATGATGGTGTGGCGATGGGATGAAGCTTGCTGATTCAACAGGGCGTGACTGGGCTCACTTGCGAGGAAGATCCTCAAATCCACCCCCCACTCCGGATTGCATCGCATCGCATCCAGCGGCAAAGACACATCGTCATCATCATCGTAATTTTTAGTTTGCCCACTCGGGCCCCGGGCGACGAAGAGCATCTGCGTTCCGAGGAGCCGTCGCTCGACACAGAAGTGCATTTCTTCATTCCGCTCACAGCTGTCATCGGCGGGCGCCATCGCGCGAGCGTTGCAGCGGCAGCGAGATCGTTCACGATGACGACGGCGAGATCGTTCACGATGACGACGGCGAGATCGTTCACGTTGACGACGGGGAGATCGTTCACGATGACGACGGCGAGATCGTTCACGTTGACGACGGGGAGATCGTTCACGATGACGACGGGGAGATCGTTCGCGTTGACGGCGGCGAGATCGTTCGCGTTGACGGCGGCGAGATCGTTCACGATGACGATGGCGAGATCGTTCACGATGACGACGGCGAGATCGTTCACGTTGACGATGGGGAGATCGTTCACGATGACGACGGGGAGATCATTCACGATGACGGCGGCGAGATCGTTCACGATGACGACGGCGAGATCGTTCACGATGACGACGGCGAGATCGTTCACATTGACGATGGCGAGATCGTTCACGATGACGACGGCGAGATCGTTCACGATGACGACGGCGAGGTCGTTCACGTTGACGACGGCGAGATCGTTCACGTTGACGACGGGGAGATCGTTCACGATGACGACGGCGAGATCGTTCACGTTGACGGCGGCGAGATTGTTCACGATGACGACGGCGAGATCGTTCACGATGACGACGGCGAGATCGTTCACATTGACGATGGCGAAATCGTTCACGATGACGACGGCGAGATCGTTCACGATGACGACGGCGAGATCGTTCACGTTGACGACGGCGAGATCGTTCACGATGACGACGGCGAGATCGTTCACGATGACGACGGCGAGATCGTTCACGTTGACGATGGCGAGATCGTTCACGATGACGACGGCGAGATCGTTCACGTTGACGACGGGGAGATCGTTCACGATGACGACGGGGAGATCGTTCGCGTTGACGGCGGCGAGATCATTCGCGTTGACGGCGGCGAGATCGTTCACGATGACGACGGCGAGATCGTTCACGACGACGGCGAGATTGTTCACGTTGACGACGGCGAGATCGTTCACGTTGACGACGGCGAGATCGTTCGCGTTGACAGCGGCGAGATCGTTCATGATGACGACGGCGAGATCGTTCACGATGACGACGGCGAGATCGTTCACGTTGACGACAGCGAGATCGTTCACGATGACGACGGCGAGATCGTTCACGTTGACGACGGCGAGATCGTTCACGTTGACGGCGGCGAGATCGTTCACGATGACGATGGCGAGATCATTGACGGCGAGATCGTTCACGTTGACGATGGCGAGATCGTTCACGTTGATGATGGCGAGATCGTTCACGATGACGATGGCGAGATTGTTGACGATGACGGCGAGATCGTTCACGTTGACGACGGCGAGATCGTTCACGATGACGACGGCGAGGTCGTTCACGTTGACGACGGCGAGATTGTTCACGATGACGGCGAGATTGTTCACGTTGACGATGGCGAGATCGTTCACGACGACGGCGAGATCGTTCACGTTGACGACGGCGAGATCGTTCACGATGACGACGGCGAGATCGTTCACGTTGACGACAGCGAGATCGTTCACGATGACGACGGCGAGATCGTTCACGTTGACGACGGCGAGATCGTTCACGTTGACGGCGGCGAGATCGTTCACGATGACGATGGCGAGATCATTGACGGCGAGATCGTTCACGTTGACGATGGCGAGATCGTTCACGTTGACGATGGCGAGATTGTTGACGATGACGGCGAGATCGTTCACGTTGACGACGGCGAGATCGTTCACGATGACGATGGCGAGATTGTTGACGATGACGGCGAGATCGTTCACGTTGACGACGGCGAGATCGTTCACGATGACGACGGCGAGGTCGTTCACGTTGACGACGGCGAGATTGTTCACGATGACGGCGAGATTGTTCACGTTGACGATGGCGAGATCGTTCACGACGACGGCGAGATCGTTCACGTTGACGACGGCGAGATCGTTCACGATGACGGTGGCGAGATCGTTCACGATGACGACGGCGAGATCGTTCACGTTGACGACGGCGAGTTTGTTCACGATGAGGACGGCGAGATCGTTCACGATGACGACGGCGAGATTGTTCACGATGACGGCGAGATTGTTCACGTTGACGATGGCGAGATCGTTCGCGTTGACGACGGCGAGATTATTCACGATGACGGCGAGATTGTTCACGTTGACGATGGCGAGATCGTTCACGTTGACGACGGCGAGATCGTTCACGTTGACGCACCACCGCCTTGTGCATGAACAGGGTTGCTGGAGTTGCCGCTCGGTGGTAGGCGTCGTGTGTGCGGTGTGTGTGTTGGGTCCAGCGGTCGGCGCTACGCTGCCATATGAACCTGGCGACCCGGGTTCGATTCCCGCTCACGGCCACCAACACCCAGTGACGATTATCCGAACCGGTCCCGGGCCTCCCCTAGGTCGACTCGGCCTCAAATGAGTTACCTGGTGCGGTGTGTGTAAACATCGCCACTGGGGGAGACAAAAGCGGCCGGGCGTGGTGCTGGCCACCCAACCCCTCGTGTGCCGTGCCGGCCTTCATCGGCGTTCGCTAACAGCACTTGCCCCCACAAGTCTGCTGAGGCTACACGGGGGATCTTTGTCTTTGTGCGCCTGCGCTAAGCGGTAAATGTGCACAGCGGCGGCGGCGGTGACGGCAACTCCCACTGTTGTGCTGTACTCCCTGTGCTCCCGCGTCTGTTGACGCTCGCGCCTCCCCCTGTCGGCAACACGTGCGGCCGAGCGTTTGGTGAAGTATGGTCAAGTAAACGAGCACACCCCGAACCGAGCAAGGAGCTGGGACAGTGGACTGACACCACGTACCTGTACGTGTAAGCCTTAACAACATCATCGGCGTCACCTTCAGCCATGGCCAATCCACTGCTGGATGAATGCCTCCCCCCCCCCCATCCCCATCCCCCCTCCCTCCACCTTGTCGCTACCACCTCCTCTTCTCACGATCTTGATGCGATGTCACTGCGCCAATTCCGTATTTGACATCGGCAGTGCACCAGTAAACACGCAAACGTTGAGCCAACGTTGGCACGTGGTTGGAGCCGCTGGACCAACGTTGGGGCCAACGTTGGTTGGTTGTGGTTGGAAACCTTTGGACCAACGTTGAGCCAACGTTGAGCCAACGTTGGCATGTGGTTATAACCGTTGGGCCAACGTTAGGCCAACGTTGGCATGTGGTTGGAGCTGCTGAACCAACGTTGGGGCCAACGTTGGGGCCAACGTTGGGTCAACGTTGGCATGTGGTTGGAGCCGCTAGACCAACGTTGGGGCCAACGTTGTTTGTGGTTGGAAACCTTTGGACCAACGTTGAGCCAACGTTGGCATGTGGTTAGAACCGTTGGGCCAACGTTAGGCCAACGTTGGCATGTGGTTAGAACCGTTGGGCCAACGTTAGGCCAACGTTGGCATGTGGTCGGATCCGCTGGACCAACGTTGAGGCCAACGGCTTCGCGTGTCACGTGTGCGATATGGCGAGAAATACTTACTCCGCCGTCTCATACTCATCCATCGCGAAGATTGTGGATGTGGTGGAGGGCGAGGCGGGGGGGCAGAGAGGGTGCGGGGTTCATCTGTCGTGACTGGAGTCTTCTTTGTAATTCATTTCGAGCACTCATTCCCATTCATCAGCCGAGACTGCCACCAACAGCTGCTGTTGCTCTCCAGAGGCAGGGTGTGTTGTGTGCGTGGGGGTCTCTGTGTGAGTCTCTCTGTGTGTGGATACGTGTCTGTGTGTGTGTGTCTTTGTGTGTGTGTGTGAGGGTCTGTGTATGTGAGGGTCTTTGTGTGTGTGGATGAGTGTCTGTGTGTGTGTGTCTTTGTGTGTGTGCGGGTGTGTCTTTGTGTGTGTGTGGGGGTCTCTGTGTGGGTCTCTCTGTGTGTGGATACGTGTCTGTGTGTGTGTGGGTGTGTCTTTGTATGTGTGTGTGAGGGTCTGTGTATGTGAGGGTCTCTGTGTGTGTGGATGAGTGTCTGTGTGTGTGTCTTTGTGTGTGTGCGGGTGTGTCTTTGTGTGTGCGTGGGTGAGTGAGGGTCTGTGTATGTGAGGGTCTCTATGTGTGTGTGGGTGAGTGGGTCTATGTGTATGTGTGAGTCTGTGTGGTTAAGTGTCTGTGTGGGTGAATGGGTGAGTGGGTCTCTGTGTGTGTGGGTAATTGTGTGTGTGAGTAGGGGTCTGTGTATGTGTGGCTCTTTGTGTGGGTCTGTGTGGGTGAGTAGGGGGTCCGTGTACGGCCAACACCAGTGACGATTATCTGAACCGGTCGTGGGCCTCCCCTAGCTCAACTCAGCCTCAAATGAGTAACTGGTGCGGTGTAAACATCGCCACTCGGGAGACAAAGGCGACCGGGCGTGGTGCTGGCCACCCACCCCCTCGTGTACCGTTCCGGCCTTCATAGGTGCTCGCTAACAGCACTTGTCCCTACAGTCTGTTAAGGCTATACGGGGGATCTTTGCCTTTGGAGGCAGACGCCCTCCAGCAACAACGGGGGGCATAGGAGCGACGCTCACAACAACGAGCGAAGCGCCGTGCGGATAAAGCGCAGCAAATCGGCGCTCTGGGTAGCAAAGTTGATGGATCTGCCAGTCACCACAATCAGTCAACCCATGGGCGCCTGGGACTGTGACCTCTCAACCCAAAGTGCACCTAGCATGGCTCAAGCGCCGTGGGGACGTCACCTCCACTTAATGGTGAACGGCGGCGGCTACTGCTGTTGTTGTTGTTGCTGCTGCTGGTGGTGCTGGTGGTGTCAGCGGTTGCAAGTATCGGTGGTGTTGTTGCCAGCGATTGTATCGATGGCGTTCGAGGTGGTGGCATTCGTGGCGTGGGCCGCCGGCTGTGTTGCCGGCGGCGGCGTTAACAGGGCCCGGGTTAGGTTTAAGTGGGGGGCCGAGGTTGGTACAGCTTTGGGGGGATTGGGGGGCCCTCTGTGTACCGTAAATCCTTGCTCCCTATGGCTGTTTATTTTCCACCAACCTACTGTGCCGCGATGTTGGACAGGAGGCGGTTATCCACCGCCCGGGAGCTGCCACTGCTGCTGTTCGTTCAAACGCAAAGTACTGGACCGCAAAGGCGAAATCAAAGTTTTAAAAAGGAAACTCGCGTGTCACCGCTAGCGTCTCCGGTAGCGTCTCCGGTAGCGTCACGGGTAGCGTCTCCGGTAGCGTCTCCGGTAGCGTCACGGGTAGCGTCTCCGGTAGCGTCTCCGGTAGCGTCACCGCTAGCGTCACCGCTAGCGTCACCGGTAGCGTCTCCGGTAGCATCACCGCTAGCGTCACCGGTAGCGTCTCCGGTAGCGTCTCCGGTAGCGTCACCGGTAGCGTCTCCGGTAGCGTCACCGCTAGGGTCACCGGTAGCGTCACCGCTAGCGTCACCGGTAGCGTCTCCGGTAGCGTCACGGGTAGCGTCTCCGGTAGCGTCACCGCTAGCGTCTCCAGTAGCGTCTCCGGTAGCGTCACGGGTAGCGTCACCGCTAGCGTCACCGCTAGCGTCTCCGGTAGCGTCTCCGGTAGCGTCACGGGTAGCGTCTCCAGTAGCGTCACCGCTAGCGTCACCGCTAGCGTCACTGCTAGCGTCACCGCTAGCGTCTCCGGTAGCGTCACCGCTAGCGTCTCCGGTAGCGTCACCGCTAGCGTCACCGGTAGCGTCTCCGGTAGCGTCACCGCTAGCGTCTCCGGTAGCGTCACCGCTAGCCTCTCCGGTAGCGTCACCGGTAGCGTCTCCGGTAGCGTCACCGCTAGCGTCACCGGTAGCGTCTCCGGTAGCGTCACCGGCAGCGTCACCGGTAGCGTCACCGCTAGCGTCACCGGTAGCGTCTCCGGTAGCGTCACCGCTAGCGTCTCCGGTAGCGTCACCGCTAGCGTCACCGGTAGCGTCTCCGGTAGCGTCACCGGCAGCGTCACCGGTAGCGTCACCGCTAGCGTCACCGGTAGCGTCTCCGGTAGCGTCACTGCTAGCGTCTCCGGTAGCGTCACCGCTAGCTTCACCGGTAGCATCTCCGGTAGTGTCTCCGGTAGCGTCTCCAGTAGCGTCACCGGCAGCGTCACCGGTAGCGTCTCCGGTAGCGTCTCTGGTAGCGTCACCGGTAGCGTCACCGGTAGTGTCACCGGTAGCGTCTCCGGTAGCGTCTCCGGTAGCTTCACCGGTAGCGTCTCCGGTAGCGTCACCGGTAGCGTCTCCGGTAGCGTCTCCGGTAGCGTCTCTGGTAGCGTCACCGCTAGCGTCACCGCTAGCATCACCGGTAGCGTCTCTGGTAGCGTCTCTGGTAGCGTCACCGGTAGCGTCTCCGGTAGCGTCACCGGCAGCGTCACCGGTAGCGTCTCCGGTAGCGTCTCCGCTACCACCGCTCGTTGCCGGTAGCGCCGCGGCTCTTGACAATGACCGAAGTCGGTGGGAGACCCCCCCCCCCCCCTCCCACCGTTCACTTGAGCATTGAGAGGCGATCGGTGGTTGTCTCATCTACACAGCTCCTGCAGTGCCCGTGATGGAAATTCCACATTCCTATAGCATGGGATTGTCGGGGTGGGCGAGGTTAGGATAACTGCTGTTAACCTCCCCACAAACTGGTACTTATTTTAATGACCCCCCCCCCCCCAGGGGGGGATGATGAACTCTCGACCTTCCACCGGCCCGACGAGTCGCCGGACCGATCACCAGACGACCTCTGGGTTCACCATCGTGCTCCGCCATTGCGTGTGAGCCGGCGTGAAAACCTGCGCGTCGCGTTAGGGGTGGGCCTCGCCACCCTCAGGGTCCCGGGTTGCAGCCCCTGGGAGCCATCGCTTTAACGCAGCCCCCCACCCCCCCACCCCCCGAGTGGTGGAGGTGGCGATGGTGTCGGTTGTGGCCGTGCGTGGTTCTGGTTGTCGTGGTTGCGTTGGATGTTATTTTGCCTTCCACCGACCATCTCCTCTCTGCCCAACCCCCCCCCTCCCTCCCTACCTCCCTCCCTCCCCCGGCCCCGCCCACAGCTGACCGTCCTGGCCCCTCACGAGGAACATGGAGTTTACGAAGGCACGCTCCTCGAGCCCCTCCTGCACCGACTTTCAGGACGCGAGGTTTCGGCTGGCCTTGGACCCCTGCCTCCACGGCCAGGGCCCCTTCTCCGCAGGGGGTCTCCCCAGACACGGGACCTTCCCGGGACACCATCACCTCCACCACCACCAGCAGCAGCAGCAGCAGCAGCTGCAGCATTGCCTGATGCAGGGTCACTGTTGCTCTCCGCACGGCAGTCAGCTGAGCGTCAACCTCAGCGGCTGCTCGTGCCCTGAGACGGACGCTTCGCTGTCCCCGCTGCTGCAGAAGTTCTCGTGCAGCGCCTGCACCGCCAAGCAGCCGCAGCAGCAGCAGCCGCAGCAGCCGCAGCAGCCGCAGCAGCAGCATCACCAGCTGAGCAGGGCGTCGAGCCCGACGGGCAGCGTGCGGCGGGAGAGCAACGCCTTCACCGAGATCGCGATGAGCAGCTGCAAGTACAATGGCGGGGTGGTCAAGCCGCTGAGCCACCTGAGCACGTCCCGGAGAAGCCTGCAGGGAGGGCAGGAGGGAGACCACGGCGGCGACGCGGCCGTCTCGGCGAGGAGTCCGCAGCCCCTGCAGGGTCACTGCCACCACCACCACTACCACCACCACCAGCAGCAGCAGCAGCAGCAGACGCCCGAGATCGTGGTGTCGAGGCCCGTATGTGAACCGTCGCTGTCCGCGTCGGGGGTGCTGAGAAGTCCCTCCTTGCAGGGCGGCGCGCAGTCGCTCCACCGCCAGTCTCCGCTGTCACTACCTCCTCCTCCTCCGCCGCCGCCTCCTCCTCCTCCGCCGCCGCTGCCACATCATCAACACCACCACCAGCAGCAGCATCATCAACAACAGCAGCAGCAGCAGCATCATCATCAACAGCAGCAGCAGCAGCAGCATCCACCGCCACCCAATACTCCACCTCCTCCTCCGCCGCCTCTTCTGCCTCCCGCGCCGCCGCCGCCGCCGCCGTTGCCGCCGGCGCGGTGCTCCACGGGCTCGACGGCGAAGGCGTGCAGCAGCAGCAGCAACAACAACAAGAAGAAGACGCAGAACATCGGCTACAAGCTGGGCCACCGGCGGGCGCTGTTCGAGAAGCGGAAGAGGCTGAGCGACTACGCCCTAATCTTCGGCATGTTCGGCATCGTCGTCATGGTCATCGAGACCGAGCTGTCGTGGTCCGTCTACGACAAGGTGGGCGGAGGGCGGGGGGTGAGGAGTGAGTGAGGAGTGAGTGAGGTGAGTGAGTGAGGTGTGAGTGAGGTGAGTAGGAGTGAGTAGGAGTGAGTGAGGTGAGTAGGAGTGAGTGAGGAGTGAGTGAGGTGAGTAGGAGTGAGTGAGGTGAGTAGGAGTGAGTGAGCAGTGAGGTGAGTAGGAGTGAGTGAGGTGAGTAGGAGTGAGTGAGGAGTGAGTGAGGAGTGAGTGAGGAGTGAGTGAGTGAGTGAGTGAGGAGTGAGTGAGTGAGGAGTGAGGTGAGTAGGAGTGAGTGAGGAGTGAGTAGGAGTGAGTGAGGTGAGTAGGAGTGAGTGAGGAGTGAGTGAGGAGTGAGTGAGGTGAGTGAGGAGTGAGGTGAGTAGGAGTGAGTGAGGTGAGTAGGAGTGAGTGAGGAGTGAGTGAGGTGAGTGAGTGAGGTGAGTAGGAGTGAGTGAGTGAGGTGAGTAGGAGTGAGTGAGTGAGTAGGAGTGAGTGAGGAGTAAGTGAGGAGTGAGTGAGGAGTGAGTGAGTGAGGAGTGAGTGAGGTGAGTAGGAGTGAGTGAGCAGTGAGGTGAGTAGGAGTGAGTGAGGTGAGTGAGGAGTGAGTGAGGAGTGAGTGAGTGAGGAGTGAGTGAGTGAGTGAGGAGTGAGGTGAGTAGGAGTGAGTGAGTAGGAGTGAGTGAGGTGAGTAGGCGTGAGTGAGGAGTGAGTGAGGAGTGAGTGAGGTGAGTGAGGAGTGAGGTGAGTAGGAGTGAGTGAGGTGAGTAGGAGTGAGTGAGGAGTGAGTGAGGTGAGTGAGTGAGGTGAGTAGGAGTGAGTGAGTGAGTAGGAGTGAGTGAGGAGTGAGTGAGGAGTGAGTGAGGAGTGAGTGAGTGAGGTGTGAGTGAGGAGTGAGTGAGGAGTGAGTGAGGTGAGTGAGGTGAGTAGGAGTGAGTGAGGAGTGAGTGAGGAGTGAGTGAGGAGTGAGTGAGGTGAGTGAGGAGTGAGTGAGGAGTGAGTGAGGTGAGTAGGAGTGAGTGAGGTGAGTAGGAGTGAGTGAGGTGAGTAGGAGTGAGTGAGGTGAGTAGGAGTGAGTGAGGTGAGTGAGGAGTGAGTGAGGTGAGTAGGAGTGAGTGAGGTGAGTAGGAGTGAGTGAGGTGAGTGAGGTGAGTAGGAGTGAGTGAGTAGGAGTGAGTGAGGAGTGAGTGAGGAGTGAGTGAGGAGTGAGTGAGGAGTGAGTGAGGTGAGTAGGAGTGAGTGAGGTGAGTGAGGTGAGTAGGAGTGAGTGAGGAGTGAGTAGGAGTGAGTGAGGAGTGAGTGAGGAGTGAGTGAGGAGTGAGTGAGGAGTGAGTGAGGTGAGTAGAAGTGAGGTGAGTAGGAGTGAGTGAGGAGTGAGTGAGTGAGGTGAGTAGGAGTGAGTGAGGAGTGAGTGAGGAGTGAGTGAGGTGAGTAGGAGTGAGTGAGGAGTGAGTGAGGTGAGTAGGAGTGAGTGAGGTGAGTAGGAGTGAGTGAGGAGTGAGTGAGGAGTGAGTGAGGTGAGTAGGAGTGAGTGAGGAGTGAGTGAGGTGAGTAGGAGTGAGTGAGGTGAGTAGGAGTGAGTGAGGTGAGTAGGAGTGAGTGAGAGGAGTAGGAGTGAGTGAGGTGAGTAGGAGTGAGTGAGTGAGGTGAGTAGGAGTGAGTGAGGTGAGTAGGAGTGAGTGAGGTGAGTAGGAGTGAGTGAGGTGAGTAGGAGTGAGTGAGGTGAGTAGGAGTGAGGAGTGAGTGAGTGAGGTGAGTAGGAGTGAGTAGGAGTGAGTGAGGAGTGAGTAAGAGTGAGTGAGGTGAGTAGGAGTGAGTGAGGTGAGTAGGAGTGAGTGAGCAGTGAGGTGAGTAGGAGTGAGTGAGGTGAGTAGGAGTGAGTGAGGTGAGTAGGAGTGAGTGAGGTGAGTAGGAGTGAGTAGGAGTGAGTGAGGAGTGAGTGAGGTGAGTAGGAGTGAATTAGGTGAGTAGGAGTGAGTGAGGTGAGTGAGGAGTGAGTGAGGAGTGAGTGAGGAGTGAGTGAGTGAGGAGTGAGGTGAGTAGGAGTGAGTGAGGAGTGAGTAGGAGTGAGTGAGGTGAGTAGGAGTGAGTGAGGAGTGAGTGAGGTGAGTGAGGAGTGAGGTGAGTAGGAATGAGTGAGGTGAGTAGGAGTGAGTGAGGAGTGAGTGAGGTGAGTGAGTGAGGTGAGTAGGAGTGAGCGAGTGAGGTGAGTAGGAGTGAGTGAGTGAGTAGGAGTGAGTGAGGAGTGAGTGGGGAGTGAGTGAGGTGTGAGTGAGGAGTGAGTGAGGAGTGAGTGAGGAGTGTGTGAGGTGAGTGAGGTGAGTAGGAGTGAGTGAGGAGTGAGTGAGGAGTGAGTGAGGAGTGAGTGAGGTGAGTGAGGAGTGAGTGAGGTGAGTGAGGAGTGAGTGAGGTGAGTAGGAGTGAGTGAGGTGAGTAGGAGTGAGTGAGGTGAGTAGGAGTGAGGAGTGAGTGAGTGAGGTGAGTAGGAGTGAGTAAGGTGAGTAGGAGTGAGTGAGGTGAGTAGGAGTGAGTGAGGTGAGTGAGGAGTGAGTGAGGTGAGTAGAGTGAGTGAGGTGAGTAGGAGTCAGTGAGGAGTGAGTGAGGTGAGTAGGAGTGAGTGAGGTGAGTAGGAGTGAGTGAAGTGAGTGAGGAGTGAGTGAGGTGAGTAGAGTGAGTGAGGTGAGTAGGAGTGAGTAGGAGTGAGTGAGGTGAGTAGGAGTGAGTGAGGAGTGAGTAGGAGTGAGTGGGGTGAGTAGGAGTGAGTGAGAAGTGAGTGAGGTGAGTAGGAGTGAGTGAGGTGAGTAGGAGTGAGTGAGGTGAGTAGGAGTGAGTGAGGAGTAAGTAGGAGTGAGTGAAGTGAGTGAGGAGTGTGGTGAGTAGGAGTGAGTGAGGTGAGTAGGAGTGAGTGAGGTGAGTAGGAGTGAGTGAGGTGAGTAGGAGTGAGTGAGGTGAGTAGGAGTGGGGAGTGAGTGAGTGAGGTGAGTAGAAGTGAGTAGGAGTGAGTGAGGTGAGTAGGAGTGACTGAGGTGAGTAGGAGTGAGTGAGGAGTGAGTGAGGTGAGTAGGAGTGAGTGAGTGAGTGAGTGATGTGAGTAGGAGTGAGAGAGGTGAGTAGGAGTGAGTGAGGAGTGAGTGAGTGAGGTGAGTAGGAGTGAGTGAGGTGAGTAGGAGTGAGTGAGGTGAGTAGGAGTGAGTGAGGTGAGTAGGAGTGAGTGAGGTGAGTAGGAGTGAGTGAGGTGAGTAGGAGTGAGTGAGGTGAGTAGGAGTGAGGAGTGAGTGAGTGAGGTGAGTAGGAGTGAGTAGGAGTGAGTGAGGAGTGAGTAAGAGTGAGTGAGGTGAGTAGGAGTGAGTGAGGTGAGTAGGAGTGAGTGAGGTGAGTAGGAGTGAGTGAGGAGTGAGGTGAGTAGGAGTGAGTGAGGTGAGTAGGAGTGAGTGAGGTGAGTAGGAGTGAGTGAGGTGAGTAAGAGTGAGTGAGATGAGTGAGGAGTGAGTGAGGTGAGTAGGAGTGAGTGAGGTGAGTAGAAGTGAGTGAGGTGAGTAGGAGTGAGTGAGGTGAGTAGGAGTGGGGAGTGAGTGAGTGAGGTGAGTAGGAGTGAGTAGGAGTGAGTAAGAGTGAGTGAGGTGAGTAGAAGTGAGTGAGGAGTGAGTGAGGTGAGTAGGAGTGAGTGAGGTGATTAGGAGTGAGTGAGGAGTGAGTGAGGTGAGTAGGAGTGAGTGAGTGAGTGATGTGAGTAGGAGTGAGAGAGGTGAGTAGGAGTGAGTGAGGAGTGAGTGAGTGAGGTGAGTAGGAGTGAGTAAATGAGTGAGGAGTGAGTGAGGTGAGTAGCAGTGAGTGAGGTGAGTATGAGTGAGTGTGGTGAGTAGGAGTGAGTGAGGTGAGTAGGAGTGAGTGAGGTGAGTAGGAGTGAGTGAGGTGAGTAGGAGTGAGTGAGGAGTGAGTAGGAGTGAGTGAGGTGAGTAGGAGTGAGTGAGGTGAGTAGGAGTGAGTGAGGTGAGTAGGAGTGAGTGAGGTGAGTAGGAGTGAGTGAGGTGAGTAGGAGTGAGGAGTGAGTGAGTGAGGTGAGTAGGAGTGAGTAGGAGTGAGTGAGGAGTGAGTAAGAGTGAGTGAGGTGAGTAGGAGTGAGTGAGGTGAGTAGGAGTGAGTGAGGTGAGTAGGAGTGAGTGAGGAGTGAGTGAGGTGAGTAGGAGTGAGTGAGGTGAGTAGGAGTGAGTGAGGTGAGTAGGAGTGAGTGAGTGAGTAAGAGTGAGTGAGGAGTGAGTGAGGTGAGTAGGAGTGAGTGAGATGATTAGGAGTGAGGAGTGAGTGAGGTGAGTAGGAGTGAGGAGTGAGTGAGGTGAGTAGGAGTGAGTGTGGTGAGTAGGAGTGAGGTTAGTAGGAGTGAGTGAGGAGTGAGCAGGAGTGAGTGAGGTGAGTAGGAGTGAGTGAGGAGTGAGGTGAGTAGGAGTGAGTGAGGTGAGTGAGGAGTGAGTGAGGTGAGTAGGAGTGAGTGAGGAGTGAGTGAGGAGTGAGTGGGGAGTGAGTGAGGTGAGTAGGAGTGAGTGAAGGGTGAGATGAGCAGGAGTGAGGAGTGAGAGGAACAGGAATGAGGAGTAAAGACTATCAGGAGGTCAGTGGCATGGCAGGGCCCTTGTCGTGAGCATCATCACCATCATCATCTTCATCGCTATGATTACACATCATCTTCACCACCACCATCATCACCATCTTCACCATCATCATCACCATCATCATCACCATTATTATCATCATCATCATCATCACCATCTTCAACATCATCATCATCATCACCATTATTATCATCATCACCATCTTCACCATCATCATCACCACCATTATTATTATCATCATCACCATCATCACCATCTTCAGCATCATTATCACCCAGCAGTCGTAGTGTAGCTGCAAGGGGGTGAAAGGAGAGGAGTGATGTGATCACACGATTTAGATCTGGTTAAAATCCGGGCTGCCGAGTCTTAAACATACTGGTGTCTATTTAAAACGCCAGCAAGCAAGGCATTGCAGTAATCCAGTCTGGATGAAATAAAGACATGCGCCAGCCTCTCGGCATCAGGAAGTGTCAGCTTAGGTCTTAGTCGAGTCAAATGGATATGCTATTTTGGTAATATAATATACGTGGGCCTCAAATGTCAAAACAGGGGTCTGGGATAACACCCAGGTTTCTGACCTTCGCGGAAGATGGAATTTAAGCCCCGTCTATGGCCATACTGAAACCCGTCCAAAGTCACGCACTTGCCCTGGAGAACCTGAGGACCTAATCTCCGTCTCATCGCAATTGTGTTTGTTGTTGAAAGTTCATTTAGTGCGTCCACAAATTGACCCAGGCAAGGCAACGCGATAGCACGGACACCACCACCCTGGCATCGTGGCTCACCGGATACCTCCCGTCCAAGTCAAGATTCTGACCCCGGAGATAAATCTTGCGAGCCATCGGGCATTAAGGCGAAACTCCCGAGCCATGACGACAACACAATCGTGTCCAAGGGGGGCCTGGCGCACGCACAGAGCTCAACAACGGTCGGCCCCCATAGCTGAGCACCGGGGAAGCCGCGAAGACACTAAAAGCATTAAGGAGAGGAACGGTCGTCCGTTGAGACGACCGTTCTCTCTGTCTATCTGTCTCTCTCTCTCGTGTTCTGGTGGACAAGTGTGACAAAAGCCAGCAGAGGAGCGGTAGCTGAGATGCCCACAGAGATTCGAAGGGGGCGGAGGGGGGGGTCCCACGTGGTAGGAGGTTTGCCCCAGGCCTTGCACAGCCACCACGGACGACCTTGGGGGCCACTGGCCGAGCTAGTGGGGGTGGCACGTGCCCCCCCCCCCCCCCCCCCCCAATGATCCGATCGAAATCTCTAAAATCGAAATCCCTCATTTCGATCGGATCATTGGGGTTTATTCGTAATACATCGGCATTTTGCGGCCCCCACTGCCACCGTGTAGCATATTATTACGTGCCGGGGGCTCTGTGAGATGATGGGACAATAGCCTGAGTCCATAATTGGCATTAAGTAACGGCAACGCGGTTATAAGCGACTCGCAGAATTGTGCGCAGTTGCGTCTACAGAGTCCACGACTTCCCTGAAGGCATCGACACCTTCAGCGAGCGCGACGCCGATCGCTAACAACGCGGTTCGCAATTCGACACCTCGGTCGATGGCCGAGCCATCGCCGCACACGCGTCGAATAAAAAGCAAGGGACAAGTCCTTTACTCACGAACAACTCCTCTATCATTCTTCATTGCTGGAGGGGGTTGGCCCGCTCTACCTGAATATCCTGGCTTGGCCATTGCTTGGGGTCCCACGGTGACTGACCCGGTCATCGCTCATGACGCTAGTCCCCCCCCCCACGCCCACCCCCTTTAAATCAATTAGCGTTCTCCGAAATCTTCGCGACTTTGCTTCCGTGCGGTCAGGGGTGGGCGGGGGGGAGGGGTGGCAAGAGTAATTGGGTTGAGCTAATTATTTTTCTTTTTACCAGGTAAGGTCCGCTGAGCGAGTTCCAGACGGCCGCTCGCCTTGAGTTACGATGCGCTGGAACACGGAGTGTCAATCTTTATGGGGGTCCCCTAGAAGGTTTGCACACGTGTGTCGGGAGGACGTGTGTGTGTGTCGGTGTGAGTGGGGAGCGGTGGTGTAGCGGTCAGCGCTACGCTGCGCTACGAAACCGGCGACCCGAATTCGATTCCCGCTCACGGCCAAAGCCAGTGACGATTATCTGAACCGGTCCTGGGTCTCCCTAATGTCGACTCAGCCTCAAATGAGTACCTGGTGCGGTGTGTAAACATCGCCGCTGGGGAGACAAAGGCGGTCGGTCGTGGTGCTGGCCACCCACCCCCTCGTGTGCCGTGCCAGTCTTTACAGGTGCTCCCTAAAAGCACTTGCCCCTACAGTCTGTTAAGGCTACACGGGGGATCTTTGTCTTTGTGCGGGGACGGTGGCGCAGTGGATAGCGTGCTGTGCTACGAACCCATCCACTCGAGTATTAAACAAAACTAAACAAAATTTATTTTTTATTTTACCGGGTAAGTCCCACTGAGCGTTACAGCTCATTTTTTTTTTCAGAAGCAACCTTGCCATCACAAATGAGGGCTCAGCGAAGTGGGCTCGTCATTGCGTGGATGCTGGTAGCAGCCAAGTGCCCTAAAACGCAACGTTCCATTCGAAAATGGAACGGCGATGTGACGGTGGACGACGACCCCATAACGACTGCCTCCGCCGTCCACACTTAGGGGCCGTCCATAAATGACGTCACGCACCTGGGGGGGGGGGGGCGGGGTCAGACATTTGTGACGATGTGTGACGATGGGGGGGGGAGGGCGGAGGTTTGAGAAATGTGACGGCCCCGATATAGACGACACGTTCTGCTTAATTAAATTGACTTTAATAAATGTTTTCTCCTATACAACATCAGAGTGCAGCGCCGCATTAATTGCGCGCTACAATGACAATAGTTTAAAGCGATTTGAAGCATGTTTTATTTTGGGGGGGGGGGGTGGAGGAGGAGGGGGGGGCAGAGCTTTGTGACGTCATATTTGAGGGGGGGTTCTGATTTTTTGTTGTGACGCCGCGTGACGAGGGGGAGGGGGGGGGGGTAAAAAATCGTTCAAAATCGCGTGACGTCATTTATGGACGCCCCCTTAGCCCGTGTACCAGGGTTTGGTGCAGAACGGACGCTCGCGCGATGGGGGGGGGGGGGGGGGGGGGCGGGGGGGTTGTTGCACCGGTGCCGTCGTTTGTGACCGGGCTATCCGGGGGGGCAGGGGGGTGGGGATCATTGTGTGTGGGGTTTGGTCTCTGCGTGCTTTGCAGGCGTCCCTGTATTCGCTGGCCCTCAAGTGTCTCATCAGCCTCTCGACCATCATCCTGCTGGGCCTCATCATCCTGTACCACGCGCGGGAAGTGCAGGTACCTCGCGTTAGACCGCGCGCGGGTGCGTGCACCCAGCCTGGCACAAGCCCCGCGCCGGTGACGTCGCCGACGCTTTTGGTGGCGAACGGCCCTCGTCGTTTCTGCGTTCTTTGTGGGGAGCGGCGCCGTGTTTAACCAGCCTGGAGAGTGTGCGCGGCGCGCGCGCAGCTCGCAGATCCTTGAAAGGTCGGGACGCGGTCCCATCGGTGAGTGCCTCCGGCGGGCGAGGCTGCCGGGTCGCGCGGCCCCGCGTGCCCAGCCACCGCGTGCCCAGCCACCGCGCTCCCCAAAGCAGTTTCTCTCGACGGGACGGAGCGTAGACCTGTGCGAGTGTCCACGCGTGTTTTCCGGCGCTCGATGGCGTGTCCGTGCGCGCGCTGTGCCCTTGAGCGACGTGCACGTGTGACCGCCGCCTCTGCTATATCTGTCACCGGTCCCCAGACCCCGTCGCTCCGCGTCTCTCGCCCTTCAAGGACACCGGCCCCCTCTCGCCGAGACCCCCACCCACACCACCCCCACCACCACCCCCCCCCCCACCCTCCCCCCCCCCCCCCCAGATGTCAACTCTTCCCCCACCTCCCACGGGACTCACAGAGCCGCACGCAGGCACGGTAACAGCTCGCGGTGACAGCTCACGGCCTTCGAGTTGAGAGAGGGGCGGCCGTGGTGGCCACGCTGCTGCTGCTGCTGCTGCAAGCTGCTGCCTCTAGTCCAGCAGCAGCAGCAGCGAGGGTCGGAGGATCGCTCGCAGACCTCGCCCGAAAATCCTTCACCCGTGGGTGGCCGTCGAGGAGGGTCCCATGCACGTGAAGTCACTCCGACGGCTCTACGCTAGGAGCCTCTTTATCACAGACACAGCGACGACGCTAGCGCCGTGTGCTTCGCTCTTAGTTCTGAAGCTCGTCCCTTCCCTCGGACGCCCCCCACCCACTCCCCGAGTGCTCCCTCCTTCTATTCTTCTTGAGCCCTCTTTCTCGAATCTTCCCTCGCTGTTTTTTTCTCTTTTTTTCCCCGCAGCCAAATCCCCGTCGTCCTCCTCCTCCTCCTCCTCGCCTCCAGGCTCCGCTCTTGTTTCCCCCGCTCGCATTCATTCCCTCCAATCTCTTCAACCCACCGCCTCCCGACCAACAGTCGTGGAAGCCCCTTTCCGCCAATAGGAGGCCTTGGCTTACTTTTTTCAATTACAGTTTGGCTGGACGTTGGGCTTGGGGTGAGCGTCTCTTTATTAGAGGGGGGGGGGGGGGCGGGAACGCTCGAACTCGCGCAGATGTAACAGATGGATATTAGCCCACACACTTTTGAGAACCGCCTTCTCCTCCGCGAGAGCTTGGCGCCCGAACTGCGCCACACGCCCCTCCCCGCATGGCCTTGCGGGGAGCTTCGGAACGTCTACCGACCTGGAGGCGTACCGATGAAGTTACGCGTCTTACTCTGTCGGAATGGGAAAGAGGTTACATTTTGATTCAAAGCTTTCGTGACTGCAGCGATTCACATTCTTGGTTCTTTCGGTAAAGTCACCACGTAGAAGGGAAACGATAAAATAATACAAATATATGTTGCTTTATATAGATATTTTATTATTTTATTGTTTCCCTTCAACGTGACTTTACCGAAAGAGCCAAGAATATGGGAAAGAGGTTATTGAGAGTTTGCACGTGGGAGGACGCCGGAGCACCCGGAAAAAAACCCCGCGCGCGCGAGGGGGAAACGCTGTACCCCGTAATGGATGGAACACGTGGGGTCCACACCGTCTGCTCTACCGCCATATCCTGGCAGAGCCAGGGGTACGGCTCCTCCTCGGCGCCCACCCACGGGAAGGGAGTTTCACAACAACATCCGTGTGTGCGATCCATCGTCTCTCGCTGCTGCCTCCAGGGTGCTGGATGACGGGCAGCCACGTGCAGCAACGTAGCCACGACCGCCGCCACCGCCCCAATTTTCGTGGATGAAATGATGCGGTGATGTGCCGCTGCTTGCATGGGCAGGGGCATTCCTCTTCACACGCCCGCTGATGTTGATGTTAGAGCAACAACTGTAATTCTACATCGGGGTGGTGGTGGTGGTGGTGGTTGATGAGCCAGACGATTGTCCCAGGAACAGCGGCGTGGTGCTGTGATGATGCTCCCGTGATGATGCCTCCGTACAGGTCTCTGTGTGAGTCTATGGGTCTCTGTGTGAGTCTATGGGTCTCTGTGTGAGTCTATGGGTCTCTGTGTGAGTCTATGGGTCTCTGTGCGAGTCTATGGGTGTCTCTGTGTGAATCTATGGGTCTCTGTGTGAGTCTATGGGTCTCTGTGTGAGTCTATGGGTCTCTGTATAAGTCTATGGGTCTCTGTGTGAGTCTATGGGTCTCTGTGTGAGTCTATAGGTCTCTGTATAAGTCTATGGGTCTCTGTGTGAGTCTGTGGGTCTCTGTGTGAGTCTATGGGTCTCTGTGTGAGTCTATGGGTCTCTGTGTGAGTCTATGGGTCTCTGTGTGAGTCTATGGGTGTCTCTGTGTGAATCTATGGGTCTCTGTGTGAGTCTATGGGTCTCTGTGTGAGTCTATGGGTCTCTGTGTGAGTCTATGGGTCTCTGTGTGAGTCTATAGGTCTCTGTGTGAGTCTATGAGTCTCTGTGGGAGTCTATAGGTCTCTGTGTGTATAGTCAATGGGTCTCTGTGTGAGTCTATGGGTCTCTGTGTGAGTCTATGGGTCTCTGTGTGAGTCTATGGGTCTCTGTGTGAGTTTATGGTTCTCTGTGTGAGTCTATGGGTTCCAATGTGAGTCTATGGGTCTCTGTGTGAGTCTATCGGTATCTGTGTGAGTCTATGGGTCTCTGTGTGAGTCTATAGGTCTCTGTGTGAGTCTATGGGTCTCTGTGTGAATCTATGAGTCTCTGTGTGAGTCTATAGGTCTCTGTATAAGTCTATGGGTCTCTGTGTGAGTCTATGGGTCTCTGTGTGAGTCTATAGGTCTCTGTGTGAGTCTATGGGTCTCTGTGTGAGTCTATAGGTCTCTGTGTGAGTCTATGGGTCTCTGTGTGAGTCTATGGGTCTCTGTGTGAGTCTATAGGTCTCTGTGTGAGTCTATGGGTCTCTGTGTGAGTCTATGGGTCTCTGTGTGAGTCTGGGTCTGGGTGAGTCTATGAGTCTCTGTGTGAGTCTATGGGTCTCTGTCTGAGTTTATAGGTCTCTGCGGGAGTCTCTGGGTCTCTGTGTGAGTCTCTGGGTCATAGTGTGAGTCTATGGGCCTCTGGGTGAGTCTGGGTCTGGGTGTCTATGAGTCTCTGTGTGAGTCTATGGGTCTCTGTCTGAGTTTAAAGGTATCTGTGTGAGTCTATGGGTCTCTGTGTGAGTCTCGGTCTCTGTGGGAGTCTCTGGGTACCTGTGTGAGTCTCTGGGTCACAGTTTGAGTCTATGGGTCACAGTGTGAATCTATGGGTCTCTGGGTGAGTCTCTGGGTCTGGGTGAGTCGATGAGTGTCTGTGTGAGTCTATGGGTGTCTGTGTGAGTCTATGGGTCTCTGTGTGAGTCTCTGGGTCTCTGTGTGAGTCTCTGGGTCTCTGTGTGAGTCTCTGGGTCTCAGTGTGAGTCTGTAGATATCCGTCGTCCTCTTCGTGTTGATGTACAGCAGCGGCTGCGACCTCACGTCGAGGTGATGAGCCAGGCGATTTTGCCACCGGGAGCAGCCGAGTGGTGAATCGCGTCTGCTGTGACGATGCCCCCCGCCCCACCCCCAACTCCTCGCCCTGCTCCGTGTGTTGCGAGTCGGGTACCCAGTCCACGTGACTCGGCTCCGTGGTTCTGCTCTGGGGTGGTAAACAGAGTCTCCCATTGTGTGTGTGCATCGTTATCATCATCACCATCACCACCATCATTATCATCACCGCCATCATCATCACCACAACCACCATCATCATCACCACCATCATTATCATCACCACCACCATCATCATTATCACCACAACTGCCATCATCATCACCTCCATCATCATCACCGCCACCACCATCATCGCCACCACCATCAGGGTGGTGAAGTCGCACTGTTGAAGGTCAAGCAACGCTGCTGCTGCTGCGACTAGGCCGTGGTGCACAACAACAACAACTCAAACCCGACCGCGTGCCGTATCAATAACCACACTGTGGTGCCTTCATAGGGAATGCGCCCTTTGTATGTAACCGGTGCGACGTTTCGGTCAATGGGCCTTTTGCATGTAACCGGTGCGACGTTTCGGCCAGTGGGCCCTATCTGCGTCGCGTCACGTGTACGGAGGAGAGCTGCTCGCCGTTCGGGTCGCACCGTCGCCTCGGATTTTTCAAACGCGACCAAATAAATCGCCATGGAACGTACTTCTAAGAAACCTGCGTGCCGCAATTAATTTCCGCTCGCGGCCGAAATTAATTGCGCCACGCCGCCGCTACGCGCGCGCAATTTACGCGTCCCTGGGTGCGGAAAAAGCTCCCCTCTCGATGGCCGATCGCATTACCGTGACGAATCGGCGCGTTGCTGTTTCGTCTCATTACTGCCCGCGGGTGCCTTTTCACCGGCGAAACGGCCGCGCGGGGGGCTTTGATGAGGTCCGGGGTGGACACGCGCGCGTCCACCAACTCGCTCAACTGCCCACTCAAACCCGCACAACCGCTCGGCCGCCGACTCGCTCGTTCACTCGTCCTGCCACCCGCTTGCTCGCTTGCCCACCCACCCACCTACGCTTAAGTTCAACCGAGCACTCGCTCGCTCATCCACGCACTCGCTCATCCACACACTCGCTCTCCCAACCCACCCATGCACACTTTCGCTAAATCACCCACTCGCTCATCCACACACTCGCTCTCCCAACCCACCCATGCACACATTCGCTTATTCACACACTCGCTCATCCACACACTCGCTCTCAAAACCCACCCACTCGCTCATCCACACACTCACCAATCCAGCCGAGCACTCTTTCACACAATTACCACCCAAATCCACAACCCAACCACCAACTCACTCTCCCACCCGCTCCCACCCACCCACACACCCACCTACCCAATCACTCACGCATCCACCAACTTGCTTGCTAGTTCACGTAACCAATCTACACACCTACCCACCCACCTACCTAATCACCTATCTATTCACCCACCCACTCACCAATGTACCAACCTACCTTCGTGTGCACTTGTGATGACCTAGGTTATGAGAGTTTAGCGTTTATAGATTAACTTACTACCAATCACCTACCTGACCCACCCACTAATCCACCCTCCAATGTGCTTGCTCGCTCATCCACCCACCTACCCATCCACCCACCCACCTACCCATCCACCCATCTATCCATCCACCCACCTACCCATCCACCCACCCACCTACCCATCCACCCACCTACCCATTCACCCACCTACCCATCCACCCACCTACCCATCCACCCACCTACCCATCCACCCACCGTCTCACCCCTTTTACCCCCACCCTCTCCACCACTCTACGCAAGTATGCACCGACCGAAGCCAACCGGGCTAATCGGAGGTGCAGTATTGAGCCTATGGGCAGTGTTGAGTCTATGGGCAGTGTTGAGTCTATGGGCAGTGTTGAGTCTATGGTGCAGTGTTGAGTCTATGGTGCAGTGTTGAGTCTATGGGCAGTGTTGAGTCTATGGGTAGTGTTGAGTTTATGGGTAGTGTTGAGTCTATGGTGCAGTGTTGAGTCTATGGGTAGTGTTGAGTTTATGGGTAGTGTTGAGTCTATGGTGCAGTGTTGAGTCTATGGCTACTGTTAGTCTATGTGCAGTGTTGAGTCTATGGTGCAGTGTTGAGTCTATGGTTAGTGTTGAGTCTATGGGTAGTGTTGAGTCTATGGGTAGTGTTGAGTCTATGTGCAGTGTTGAGTCTATGTGCAGTGTTGAGTCTATGGGCAGTGTTGAGTCTATGGGTAGTGGTAGTCTACTGTATGGCAAGTGTTGAGTCTATGGCTACTGGTAGTCTATGGCTACTGGTAGTTTATGGTGTAGTGTTTAGTCTATGACTACTGGTAGTCTATGTGTAGTGGTAGTCTATGGCTACTGGTAGTCTATGTTGCTGTGATGAGTCTATGGCTACTGGCAGTCTATGGCTACTGGCAGTCTATGGTGTAGTGTTGAGTCTATGGGTAGTGTTAGTCTATGGTGCAGTGTTGAGTCTATGGCTACTGGTAGTCTATGGTGTAGTGTTGAGTCTATGGGTAGTGTTGGTCTATGGCTACTGGTAGTCTATGGTGTAGTGTTGAGTCTATGGGTAGTGTTGGTCTATGGCTACTGGTAGTCTATGTGTAGTGGTAGTCTATGGTGTAGTGTTGAGTCTATGGCTATTGGTAGTCTATGGCTACTGGTAGCTATGGCTACTGGTAGGTTATGTGTAGTGTTGAGTCTATGTGTAGTGTTGAGTCTATGATGCAGTGTTGAGTCTATGGCTACTGGTAGTCTATGGCTACTGGTAGTCTATGTGTAGTGGTAGTCTATGGTGTAGTGTTGAGTCTATGGGTAGTGTTAGTCTATGGCTACTGGTAGTCTATGTATAGTGGTAGTCTATGGTGTAGTGTTGAGTCTATGGCTACTGGTAGTCTATGACTACTGGTAGGCTATGTGTAGTGTTGAGTCTATGTGTAGTGTTGAGTCTATGATGCAGTATTGAGTCTATGGCTACTGGTAGTCTATGGCTACTGGTAGTCTATGTGTAGTGGTAGTCTAAGGTGTAGTGTTGAGTCTATGGGTAGTGTTAGTCTATGGCTACTGGTAGTCTATGGCTACTGGTAGTCTATGGTGTAGTGTTGAGTCTATGGGTAGTGTTAGTCTATGGCTACTGGTAGTCTATGTGTAGTGGTAGTCTATGGCTACTGGTAGTCTATAGCTAATGGTAGTCTATGGTGTAGTGTTTAGTCTATGGCTACTGATAGTCTATGGTGTAGTGTTGAGTCTATGGGTAGTGTTAGTCTATGGCTACTGGTAGTCTATGTGTAGTGGTAGTCTATGGTGTAGTGTTGAGTCTATGGGTAGTGTTAGTCTATGGCTACTGGTAGTCTATGGCTACTGGTAGGCTATGTGTAGTGTTGAGTCTATGGGTAGTGTTAGTCTATGGCTACTGGTAGTCTATGGTGTAGTGTTGAGTCTATGGGTAGTGTTAGTCTATGGCTACTGGTAGTCTATGTGTAGTGTTAGTCTATGGTGTAGTGTTGAGTCTATGGGTAGTGTTAGTCTATGGCTACTGGTAGTCTATGTGTAGTGGTAGTCTAAGGTGTAGTGTTGAGTCTATGGGTAGTGTTAGTCTATGGCTACTGGTAGTCTATGTGTAGTGTTAGTCTATGGTGTAGTGTTGAGTCTATGGGTAGTGTTAGTCTATGGCTACTGGTAGTTTATGTGTAGTGGTAGTCTATGGTGTAGTGTTGAGTCTATGGGTAGTGTTAGTCTATGGCTACTGGTAGTCTATGTGTAGTGTTGAGTCTATGGGTAGTGTTAGTCTATGGCTACTGGTAGTCTATGTGTAGTGTTAGTCTATGGTGTAGTGTTGAGTCTATGGGTAGTGTTGGTCTATGGCTACTGGTAGTCTATGTGTAGTGTTAGTCTATGGTGTAGTGTTGAGTCTATGGGTAGTGTTAGTCTATGGCTACTGGTAGTTTATGTGTAGTGGTAGTCTATGGTGTAGTGTTGAGTCTATGGGTAGTGTTAGTCTATGGCTACTGGTAGTCTATGTGTAGTGTTGAGTCTATGGGTAGTGTTAGTCTATGGCTACTGGTAGTCTATGTGTAGTGTTAGTCTATGGTGTAGTGTTGAGTCTATGGGTAGTGTTGGTCTATGGCTACTGGTAGTCTATGTGTAGTGTTAGTCTATGGTGTAGTGTTGAGTCTATGGGTAGTGTTGAGTCTATGGGTAGTGTTGAGTCTATGGGTAGTGTTGAGTCTATGGGTAGTGTTAGTCTATGGCTACTGGTAGTCTATGGGTAGTTTGTATGTTGAACTTCTTTGGCGCCGTACGTCGACAGCCGTGCTAATCGGAGGCGCGGGAAATTTCCGACGGTCTTGAAAAAATTGTCTTTTTAAAGTAGGAAATTCCCCCCGAGTATAAACACCGAGCGCTCTGCCCCTGGTGAACACTGCCCATGGTGGAGCCTCCCCATGGTCGACTCTCGCGGATGGTGGACTTCACCCGGTGTGGGTTGACGCGTGCGTGCGTGTCCACCAACTTTGCTGAACTGGTCGTGGTTCGGCGCGCCGCGCTACGAACCCCGGCTACGACCCGAGTTCGATTCCCGCTCAAGGCCACAAGCGTCCGGTGGCGATTATTTGAACCGCTCCTGGGCTTCCCCTAGGTCGACTCAGCCTCAAATGAGTACCTGGTGCGGTGTGTAAACATCGGCAATGGGGAGGCAAAGGTGGCCGGGTGCTACTCGCTTACAGGAGTTTGCGGTGTCTCTCTCCCCGTGGTCGCGTGGAATTTTCTCTGGGTCCGTCCGGTTACCCAATCCACGTTTAAGAATCAACGTCGCCACTCGTTCAGAGTGTTGGCATCAATTTCCACGCGATGATGAAGAGCCACTTCATTGAGCTATCATTTGTGACAGCCAAAAAAATAGCTACGTAGCTCAGTGGGCCTAACCTGGTAAAATAAAAATAGTTTATTTTTTTATTTTTTTTTCCTGTATGGTGCGTCTCCTCCCTGTTTTCCATGGGTTCCCTCTGAGTTCTCCGTTTCCAACCAGTCCTTTAAAAAAACAAAGACAAAGATCGCCCGTGTAGCCTTAACAGACTGTAGGGGCAAGTGCTGTTAGCAAGTGGCACCTGTGAAGGCCGGCACAGGACACAAGGGGGTGGGTGGCCAGCACCTTTGTCTCCCCAATGGCGATGTTTACACACCGCACCGGGTACTCATTTGAGGCTGGGTCGACCTAGGGGAAGCCCAGTACCGGTTCTGATAATCGTCGCCGGTGTTGGCCGTGAGCGGAAATTCATGGGATCGTCGTTCGTGCAAGTTGCATCTCGCGGCCGCTGAGTGGGAGCCACGGACACGAGACTGGATGGCTACCGGCGCTACAGACAGTCGCTGCGCAGTTCTCTACATATTAAGATGTTTTCGGCTAGTTAATGAGTGTTCAGACGTGGGGGGTTGAAAACGGAGCACTCGGATTAAGCCCGCGCATGCCAAGGGACGACGCGCTATCCCATTAAAGAGAGTGTTCGGTCTCGGTGTGGCTTTCCTGGGTTCGGAGAAGGAAAAAATATTAAAAAAAAGAATAATCGGGGGCTGTGATGCGGCCCAGCGGTAGCGCGTTCCTAATAAAGTTTATTTATTAATTATTATTTTGGGTTAGATCGGGCAAATATAAATGTGTCGTCAAACCCTGCCACCGCCCGACACGGCCAATTAGCAAGGCTTGTGACGTTAAACGAAAGTTTTAGCTCTTGCCCCGCGACTGTCTGTCGCAGACCACACCGCGTGGTGGGGGGGGGGGGGGGGGGGGGGGATTTGGGATTTTCGTTTTTGTTCTGCTCAACCGCCCGCTAACTCGTCCCTCCCCCCCCCCCCCCACCCCCTCCCCGGCTCAGCTGTTCATGGTAGACAACGGTGCGGACGACTGGCGCATCGCCATGAGCTCCGAGCGCATCTTCTTCATCGCCCTCGAGCTCTGCGTATCGGCCATCCACCCGGTGCCCGGGCGCTACACGTTCGTGTGGACGGCGCGACTCGCCTTCTCCTACGCGCAGTCGGTGACCACGGCCGACGTCGACATCGTCCTCTCCATCCCCATGTTCCTGCGCCTCTACCTGATCGCGCGCGTCATGCTGCTCCACAGCAAGCTGTTCACGGACGCGTCGTCACGCAGCATCGGCGCCCTCAACAAGATCAACTTCAACACGCGCTTCGTCATGAAGACGCTCATGACCATCTGCCCCGGCACCGTGCTGCTCGTATTCAGCATCTCGCTGTGGATCATCGCCGCGTGGACGGTGCGCGCGTGCGAGAGGTGAGGCCGTGGTCCAGGGTGAGCGAGGGGTGATCCCGTGGTCCAGGGTGAGGGGTCAGGCCGTGGTCCAGGTGGAGGTGAGTGAGGGGTGAGGCCGTGGCCCAGGGTGAGTGAGGGGTGAGGCCGTGGCCCAGGGTGAGCGAGAGGTGAGGCCGTGGTCCAGGGTGAGGGGTCAGGCCGTGGTCCAGGTGGAGGTGAGTGAGGGGTGAGGCCGTGGCCCAGGGTGAGTGAGGGGTGAGGCCGTGGCCCAGGGTGAGCGAGAGGTGAGGCCGTGGTCCAGGGTGAGTGAGGGGTGAGGCCGTGGCCCAGGGTGAGTGAGGGGTGAGGCTGCGTGGCCCAGGGTGAGTGAGGGGTGAGGCCGCGTGGCCCAGGGTGAGTGAGGGGTGATCCCGTGGTCCAGGGTGAGTGAGGGGTGATCCCGTGGTCCAGAGTGAGTGAGGGGTGAGGCCGCGTGGTCCAGGGTGAGTGAGGGGTGAGGCCCCGTGGTCCAGGGTGAGTGAGGGGTGAGGCCGTGGCCCAGGGTGAGTGAGGGGTGAGGCCGTGGCCCAGGGTGAGTGAGGGGTGAGGCCGTGGCCCAGGGTGAGTGAGGGGTGATCCCGTGGTCCAGGGTGAGTGAGGGATGAGGCCCCGTGGTCCAGGGTGAGTGAGGGGTGATCCGGTGGTCCAGGGTGAGTGAGGGGTGATCCGGTGGTCCAGGGTGAGTGAGGGGTGAGGCTGCGTGGCCCAGGGTGAGTGAGGAGTGAAACCTACTCCGAGCGCTAAACTCCCATTGGACGTATTGACGACCAACCCAGCAGCAAATGCAGTGTTGTGAACATTGTCTTCTTGTTCATGTGGTGTTATATTCCCTTGTGGGTGTGGTGTTATCCCCTTGTAGGTGTGGTGTTATCCCCTTGTTGGTGTGGTGATATCCCCTTGTAGGTGCCGTGTTATCCCCTTGTAGGTGCGGTGATATCCCCTCGTTGGTGCGGTGTTATTCCCTTGTAGGTGCTGTGTTATTGTTGGTGTCACCGATTGCTGCGGCGTTGAGAATGCTGCCAGTGGACGTTATCGGTGGCTGGTAGCCTGTGAGGTGGCTCAGCTGTAGAGCGAGTGGCTCGCAAGGGGAAGGGCATGAGTTCAATGCCAGGCTGGGCTTGGGGGGTGGGGGTGGGAGGTGTTGGCTCAGCCCATCATCCATCGGGGCTCGCTAAAACGAAATACCGCTTTGTAGGGAAGATCGAGAATGGTTATCCTATGGATACACTCACCCCGGTTTAACACCTGGGAGGCTTTCGCGACCAATGTCATCCATAATAGAGGGGTTTTTTGGGGTTAGATCGCGTAAATATGAAAATGTGTCGTTAAACCCGCAACCACCCGACACAGCCAACTGGTAAGGGTTTGTCACGTAAGCAGAACGTGGCCAATTCGTCACTAGTACAGCACTAGTGTGTAGTGTATAGTGTAGTGTATAGTAGTGTATAGTGTAGTATACTAGTACAGCACTAACCGGTGTGTTGGAGAGCCAAGCCACAACGTTTACAATCTGAGTTCGACGTTTCAGCAGTAATTACAACCAGCTTCATCAGGCGACGGCCCAGATTTGTGGAGGAGTCCACCGGTTTAGTTCCTGAAATAGAGGCGTGGATGTGGTGACCACTCTTGTGCGCTCTTCTTACGCAAAGTGGGAGGGGGGTGATTAATGAGTCAACGTACATTATGCATGTGCATTATGCTGTCATAGGAATGGGGAATTTATACTGCCTGGCTCAAAGCTGTAAACGGGTGAGCATCAGTTTAACACGTAGGCTTTCGCGACCAATATTATTCATGATAAAGGTTTTTGGGTTAGATCGCGTTATTTATAAATGTGTCGTAACCCTCCACCACCCGACACGGCCAATCAGCAAAAAAGTGTCACGTTGACAAAAGACAAATAGTTCACTACTTTAGCCCACCGGTGTGTTGAAGAGTGAATCCACAACATTTACAGTTTGAGTACGACGTTTCGCTGGTAATTACATCCAGCATCATCGGGCAATTCGCCAGAATGGTAAAGCCCTCACTTGCTCCCGGTGCAGTGATTGAGTTAAATGATGACGTCACCCTGCTGCTGTATTTAAGACCGGGAGCAAGTGAGGGCTTTACCATTCTGACGAATTGCCCGATGATGCTGGATGTAATTACCAGCGAAACGTCGTACTCAAACTGTCAATGTTGTGGATTCACTCTTCAACACACCGGTGGGCTAAAGTAGTGAATTGTCTTTTGTCAACGTGACACTTTTTTTGCTGATTGGCCGTGTCGGGTGGTGGAGGGTTACGACACATTTATAAATAACGCGATCTAACCCAAAAACCTTTATTATGAATATTATTATGAATAATATTCATAATAAAGGTTTTTAGCGTGGCTTTTTCGCTCCAGCGCTGTCCTCCAGACAGTCTCGTCCCTTCACCTGATGAAGGCCGCTTGTGTTGTGGCCGAAACGTCGTGAGAATATTATTGTGTTATTTTATTTTATCAATTTATTGTTTTATTCTCATTCTACGTGATTTTACCGAAAGAACCAAAGAAGATCAATCCTTGCAGTCACGAAAGCTTTAAATCGAAATCTCCTAGCCACTGTGGCACCCGACATTAAGGCGGCCAAGGAACCCTTTCCCGCGTCCGAGACAGTCTGCGAGCCGCGGGGTGAGGGTGTCCCGTCCTCACCGCTGAATCTCGGAACGTGCTCAAGCGGCTTACGTTTATTATTATTATATATATTTTTTATAGAGAGTCGCAGCAGCGCTGTCGCCTTTAGGGGCACTGTTACTCACCGCGGAGAAGAGTGGCGGCACGGCCGTCGCACACTCCTCCGACAGCTGGCACCCAAAACTGTGCCACACGCCACCTCCCCGCACGGCCTCGCGGGGGCCCCGGCGCGTCTTCCGACCCCGAAGACGCGCCGATCGAGAATATTTAGTTTTTACACGTACGTCATCGGAACGGGGAAGTAGTTAACGAGAGGAGTTTCTACACGTGGGAGGAAACCGGAGCACCCGGAGGGAAAAAAAAACCCTCGCGTGCGCACGCGCCCGCCCGCAAGGGAGAAACGCTCTATCCCGTAGAGGCGGGACACACGGTGGGGTTCCACGTTCTTTGTGCTGTGCCGCCTTCTCCCGGCGAGCCAGGGGTTACGGATCCTCACCGACGCCGCGCTCACGGGGAGGGAGCCTCGCGACAATCTGCGCGGTGATCCACCAACCCCCCCCCCCCCCCCCCCCCCCCCCCGCCAGCTGCCTCTCCGCAGCACCGGGTTGACGGGGCGTCCGTTGCCCTACCGCTGCCCGGGTGACGCTGTGTGCCTGCTCTCGGGCGCATTTCGAGAACATTCCAGCGGTTTGCCATCACGTGTTTCCCGGGGTACACTCTGAGAATGCTCCAGTGGGCTTGTCCCCGAGTAGCTGAGGTGGTTTTTTGGGGGCTTTGAGAATAATCGCTCTCGTCCCAAATGAAGGCATTCGTCTTTGGTGTACACTATGGAAAATGTTCCAACGAGGCGTCCCCTGCTTATCGAGTTGGTTTTTTTTTGGGGGGGGGGGGTACGCGTTGCGAACGTGTCAGCAGGGGAGGAGGGGGGGGGGGTCTCACTGAGCGATGGGTGGGGGTTTTTTTTTTTGGGGTACACTTTGAGAACGATCGGGCGTCCGCGTGTCCCGCTCACGTTCCACTGAAACCCAATCTCACCGTCTCCGCCGCTAATTCTCATTCTGAGTCTGCGGGGAGGAGAAGGGGGAGGAGGAGGAGAGGGGAGGAGGAGGGGGGGGGGGGTCGCTGACGTTTGAGGTTCAGGGCTATTCATAGCGGGCGCTCATTTACAGACCTCCAACAATGACGACGGCGTTGGTGATGATGGTGATGATGATGATGGCAGCGATAACGGTGATGGTGATGATGGTGGTAACGATATGAGAAATAATCATTGTTGTGGTGGTTGGTGGCGGCGGTGGTGGTTGTGGTGGTGGTGATGATGGTGGTGGTGGCGGCAGTGCGGTAATAGAGACAATGTATAACGTTTAGTTTTAGGGTTTCGTCCATAAATGACGTCACGCACCTGGGGGGGGGTGTCAGACATTTGTGACGAGGGGGGGGGGGGGGTTGAGAAATGTGACGTCACATCAAAATGCGCAACTTTGAATAAATATAGACGACACGTTCTACTTAATTAAATAGACGTTTTAATAAATGTTTTCTCCTACAACATCAGAGTGCAGCGCCACATTAAATACGCACTACAATGACAATAGTTTAAAGTGATTTGAAGCATGTTTTATTTGGGGGGGGGGAGGCAGAGCTTTGTGACGTCATATTTGAAGTGGGGGTTGGTCAGAAATCGTCCAAAATCGCGTGACGTCATTTATGGACGGTCCCTTATTCATGAGTAGGAGCCACGGACGCGAGACTGGATGGCTACCGGCGCTACCGACAGTCGCTCTGCAGTTCTCTACATATTAAGATGTTTTTGGCTACTTAATGAGTGGGGGGGGGGGCGGGGGGTTTGAAAACGGATTAAGCCTGCCAAGGGACAGACACTCTCACCCACACGGAAGGAACATGTGGATATTATCCATAAAACAGGTTCTTTTTGGGGGGTTCAGATCGCGTAAATATATAAATGTGTGTCGTTCAACCCGTCCACCACCCGACACAGCCAACTAGCAAGGTTTGTCACGTAAACAGCATGTGGCCAATTCGGCACTAGTACAGCACTAGTGTATAGTGTAGTGTATAGTATAGTGTATAGTGTAGTGCATAGTAGTGTATAGTGTAGTGTATAGTATAGTGCATAGCAGTGTATAGTGTAGTGTATAGTGTAGTGCATAGTAGTGTATAGTGTAGTGTATAGTGTAGTGTATAGTAGTGTATAGTGTAGTGCATAGTAGTGTATAGTGTAGTGTATAGTGTAGTGCATAGTAGTGTATAGTGTAGTGTATAGTGAAGTGTATAGTGTAGTGAATAGTAGTGTATAGTGT